TTAATTTTGCAGATTCCAAATTGCTCTCTAACATGGAACATCACCACAAGAGAATAATCATGGAAGCCATCGAGATAGAGAAACACCCTCACAACATGAACAAGCGTGACGACACATCCCGCCTGCCAGACATCTGGAAATTAGCCCTCCCCACAAAAACCGACACCAGATCCAGAGGCACACAGAACGCCATCACCAATCAACCACACCAGACCCAAACCCAGACCCTCTCCACAGATAAATTACAGACACCATCCAGTAGCCAAACCATGGTGGCACCTCCGGATGCTGCACCCCCCTGCAATCCCTACACAGATCTGGCTGGCACAGGACACAAAACCACAGCTCGCCCCTATACACGAAGCCAAGCCAGAGCACAACTAAATGCAGTACAGCCATCTTCTCAGAAAAACTCTTCACAAAGTTCAAGAGGTCAAGACACGAAGGCTTTAGCAACTAATCCACACCTAATGACCCACCTAAGTGGTACTCAGGATATCACTCAAGAAATCACTCAAGATATCCCTCAAGTAATTAAGGAACAAAAGAAGAAAAGGCACACTAGCCTGGGAACTTCCTCTCTGCCCAGAACATTGGAGGCTATACACCACACCCCCTCAACAGTATTTATAGGAACTCAAACACTGAGATCCTGCTCTGTTCCAGTAACAAGAAGCCGAAAGCACCAGCCTGAAGATGACGAGTGAGACCTCGTCGAAACGTCGCCTAGACACCCCAACTTTTACACGGGAAGACACCCGAGGACACCAAAACCTGCATATATATATATATACATACACACACAAAACAAAGTTGTACATACTCTACTCTTAAATCGCAGAAACAAAATTAAGGAATCTTGAATTAACACCCCCCCCACCTCTTTCTCCCTTGAAACTGTTACCAACCTGATCAAGAGATCCCGCAAGTATGCGAACTCACAATGCGTTGTATTCTCAACTGTAAAAGAAGGATACAATACTCGATATGAGCACAGAATCAATACACACTCGATTCCAGATTCACAAACCACATCAATACCCAAAGAACTTGCAACTGTCTGGAGCATAGTTTAAATAATTCTCAATAGCGGCCCTTGAAGATCTAGCATAGGTTAGAACAGGCTAGCTGTTCTAAGCCTGGTGCCCTCTAGATGTTGTTGGGCTCCCAACTCTCATTAGCCCCTGCCAGCATGGCCAAAGGTCAGGGGTTTTGGGAGTTGGGTGTTCAACAATATCTGGAAGACAACCGGTTCCTCACCCCCTGGGTTAGAGCAACAGGACGAGTTCTTCACAGTGTCCAAACACCATTGCCTTGGGACTCTCTCTTCACAGAGTGTGTGTAGAGTATCCCCACTCTCAATCATGCACATATAGGTAACAAGGCAAGTGTCACGAGACCCAGCCTTGTGATGGCCTCACTGATTTCATGAGTTACCAAGGATTGGCCACAGGGGGGAACCAGAAGGCTTAAAATGAACTGCCTTTCTTCTCAGAGAAACCCTGCTTTGAGAAAAATGCTTAAAAGGAGCCAAAGAATCACAAGTGAGAAAAACCCACAGAAATAAAAAGGTGGCAACAAGTGTAGCTTGTGCTGCTAGATGTACAAAAAGAGTAAAACGGGGGAGTCAAGAGTAGCTGTAGTAGCCGAAGTATATGAGATACTCTTGCATATTCCAAAAGGTACCTGAGTATCTGTAACTGACTCTGTCCTTTTTTAATAATCTACAGGGTCTGGGGCAAAGCAGGCTCACAAGGCTCTAGATTTGTGGTTTTTATCATATGGTGCGCTTGCGCAGTTTACTAATTCCCCACCCAAATCTACCAGTTAAAGGGGCTTTTCTCAGCAGCCTGGCCTAAGGTCCATGACTTTCATTTCATTTCAAATATTTAAGAGTAAAGCTCTCTCAAAGTGGCTTCCATAATAAACAAATATCTCCTGCCTGCCAAATATACTCTCCCAGATTTCAGTTGTATTAAGATCCTATATTTAGCCTGAATTAAATCCTTAGTATTTATACGGCATCATCAGTACACAGGGTTGGTCCAAGAAGTTTACAGCCTAAAATTCAACACAGGGGCACCACAAAGGAAAAAGAGAGAGAAGCAGAAGCAGGGATCAAATAGGGAGGCAATGTGTGCTTATTTAATTTGCATGCACTTAGTCTTAGTTACAGGGGAGGCCACAGTCGCAGTAGAGCTGTGCACCAGATTTGGCCAATGCCCAAGCCACAGATAGCTGTGAGGCAGGTTTGATGGCCCTTGGCTGTCAGGGGTTGGGGTATCAGGCAGGAAGGAAAGACAGGTAGGGCAGGAAAACTGTAGGAAAAGGCTGAGACCTACCCTACCAGCGGCTGCGTCTTTCCAGGTGCCTGATGACTTTGCAGGATCAATGCCTCTGCTCAGCTGAATAGAGGCATCAATCCTATGGGGGTGCAGCCGCTGCTTTGGAAGCAGCTTTTCTGCACCAACCCTGAGCAGTGCCAATCACTACTTCTTCATGAGCAGAGCAACTTCCCTTGCATGAAGAGAAGCCACTTGCAAAGGAGCAACACTGCACAGGATCAAATAGCCCCTCTTGCCAGCAGTGGGAGGAACCAGTGCTGACTCTTGCTCCTCCACAAGCAGTTTGTTTCCCTCATGTGCAGGGAAGCTGCTCACAAAGGAGCAGCATTGTGCAGGATCAGATGTTCCAGCTTGCCAGCTGGCAAGCAAGAACATCTGATCCCATGTGGTCCTCAACTTGACCATATTTTTAAATCCTATTTTAACTTTTTAATTTTAAAAACAAACAAACCCTGAGTCCTGCTCCCTCAAATTTCTTAGGGAATGGCTCCTGGGAAAGGTAGGTGTCCCCAAGGGCCTCCAAGGTGGATAGGACTGTCACAGATTGTCCCTGGGGCAAATCAGCGGGGCTCTGCACAGCCCTACCAGTGGGGGAGCGCGGTGGCAGCCCAGGAGACTGGATGGGCCTCTCAGATGTTTCTTTGGCAGTCTTAATGGTTTAAAGATGACTAGGAAGCAAGAGACAGGTGAGAGAGCTCTTACCTTCAATTGTGCCCCACTTCGTTTTCCTTCCCAGAATTCGCCTTCCATTTATCTGGTATTCCTGGTCACTGCCCACCACAGCAAACGGAATCATTTCCTACAGTTAAATTGCTAAGAGTCAGAAATTGGGGCTCATGAAATCTAACCCTTCTTCATTAAGTCAGAAATGTGTTGATTTAATTCCTGTTACCCCACCACCACTATCACCACCACCACATACTCCTTTATTTCAGAGAGTTCCAACATCCACTTTAGCTCTTCTGAGCCAGTGAAACAGGTTAAGAGGGTCACCCAGCCAAACTAGGCAAGCCTCGCCTGGACATTGGCTCATGAGGGATGAGTGACTTTGAGAATTTCACAGGCAAAACTGACTTTTCACTTAAGTATTCTTCTCCTTGACAATGACCATTGAGAAGGATGCTTTAGGCTCTGTAAGCCTTTGAGCACATGCTAAACAAGTGTCAAGAAAGGACCGCTCACTTACTCTAAATTTCTCATTTATTAGTCGGTCTTCAGAGTCCTCATCAAACTGTTTCTGAGGGTAGACATCAATGCCATTGGCAAGGAGATCTGCTGTGATCTGTAGGAACAACAATGCAGGGAACAGAAGAAGCCTGTGGTTAGTCAGAAATGCTAATAAAATACCTTTATTGAAAAAGCTATCATAAGAATGTAAATACACCTTTGCTGGATCACATTGGCCCACCTAGTCTAGCACCCCAATCTCACAGTGGATGCCCAGATGCCCATAGGAAGCCAGGAATGTGGACCTGAGCCCACTTTACAGCATCTGGTATTCAGAGGCACACTGCTCCAACAGTGGAGTCCTCAAACTGGAGCAGATGGGAATTGCAGTATGTGGCCATGTTCTTCATCAAGCCAGCTGATGCCATGGTCTGAGGCCCATGATGTAGAAACCTTACCAATGGTAAGGGTGCCTGAGTTCTGAACAGCATCTGGGGAAAGACTTGGGAAACGGATGGGTTCCAAGGAAGGGTTCCTTCCTTATCGTAAATAAACAACAACTAGATAGTTGACTAGATAAATTGGCTTTTCCCAACCTGGGCTCTTCCAACTCCAACCCCCACTGGCCATGCTGACATGGACTAGTGGGAGTTTGGAGTCCAACAGCATCTGCAGAGCCACAAGCTCCCCAGTCCCTGTTCTGTATGAAAAGCAGAGTCCAGGATCTTGCATATACCCTGCAGAGTACAGCTCTTGGTTAAATGACACCCGGTTGGAGAAGGCGGAGATACAATATTAAATACTAAGTGCAGTGCAGTTCTAAGGAGCATTAAAGTTTGAGGGTGACATTTTTGGTACATCTCCTTGATCCATGCTGCTTAATGCAGCTTCACAAACAGATGTTTTACTCCAAGGGCAACAATGGTTGGAAATTGACCCATGCCCTCAATTTCCTACTACAGTCGTACCTTGGAAGTCGAACAGAATCCATTCCAGAGGTCCATTCGGCTTCCAAAACATTTGGAAACCAAAGCATGGCTTCTGATTGGCTGCAGGAAGCTCCTGCAGCCAATCAGAAGCGGCGCCAGACATTCGACTTCCAAATATCGTTCGAAAACTGGAACACTCACTTCCGGGTTTCGATCGTTCGGGAACTGATTTGTTTGGGAGCCAATTTGTTTGAGATCCAAGGTACGACTGTACAAGGAGAAATTCAGGGTTAATTTCCAGTTACTGGGTCAAAAGGTAGCAGTGGAAGATAGAAGGATAGGTAGCCAGAGCAGGATGAGAGCAGCATATACACCTCTTAAGTTATTAGTCACATGGCTGGGCATATGTTGCAGAGTTAGGTGGAAAAAGCAGGGGGTTGATGGTACACTTCTGTAGCCATTTGGACAGCAGGCCTGGACTGTCTTTAAAATCCAGGAGAAAGATTTGCAGAAGGAAAAAGAATCAGAATGGGAAATTGAATTTATTCCTTCTCCACAGAGAGAGAGAGAGACCAAGCCAAGAGAAATACATGCAATGGCTTGGAGATCAATGAAGACCTTTTCGTCTCACCATGCAAGATTGCTCTGAGCTGCGGCCTGAGGAATGTGCTGGGCTCCTAGCCAGCGGCTGGGATTCAGAGACCTGCACAGGGGAAGCAGCAGGAGAGGGCACGAGATCCTCAGAAAGGTCAGAGAAGAAGGCAGCATCCCTCTTACCCTTTGCTTGAAGTAGTCCCTCTCCTCTAGCGTTAATGTGTCTGCTTTGGCGATGACAGGGACAATGTTGACCACTTTGCTCAGGCGCCTCATGAATTCAATGTCCAGCGGCCGGAGGCTAAAAGCAAAATAAAAGGACTTCTTAAAACGAAAAGGAGACCAAGGATGCTGAGACATAAGACATTCCACTTCCCTTCCCAACTGACGGTAGGCCTTTCTAGAAGCACTGAAATGCCACAAGGAAGCAACTCACTCTGTGCAATACTCAGGAGGCCAACAGCTGATCTAGGGTGTGAAGTAGAGGTGGGTGAAGGCTCTGGTCCTCCTGCCCCACCAGCCAGGTATCCTCTTGCCTCTAACATGACTAGGTTCTCAATAGGACAACAGTAACCAAATGGGGGCTGGAACCACTATTTGGTCACTGTAAGTTGATCACTTAGGCTGCTGGTTATCAAGCAGGCCTTCATGACCAGGTGAGCCAGACAGTGCCTGTCTGTGAGGAGTACATTGCAGGGTGGTTTTCCTGGAAGCATTTGTGGCAATTGCCACCAACAGATATATGATGATTGCAACAGACAAAGAGCAAGTGAGAGCAAACTACACCTGAACACATTTAAACATTTTAGACATAGACATTGTTGCTAGATGGACTAGTTGTCCCAGACCAAGACTACATTGAGGACAAAGGGTTAAAGCCCCTGCCCCCCCCAGTCCCAATTGGACCCCTCACACCAGCTGTTTACTTTTTTTAAAAAAAAGTGTGTTTTCGCTAATTTGGCCCTAAAGACAGATTACATTTCTCTCCACCTTATATTTAGCTATAAATCCTGCTAGGGTATGCACGATGGATGTTTCTTGGCCTGTGGAGTCACAGGTTCAAGTCATTCTCTCAGCCCAGCCTACTCTACAGGGTTACTAAGAGGAAAAAACAGGATTAACCCCTTTGTATGCCACTCCAAGTGGCAAGAATAAATGCGATGGACAAACAAACTCTGAGCATTATGGGTTAGGAATTTGCTACATGCCACATTCATTTGCAGAAAAATATGGAAGTGGATTGTTAGCTTTAATCATTGCTACATGGGACAAATATGTTGTTTTCTTTGTCTTATGTGCACCTGCACCACAGGCACATCTGTCACTTATGATTGACGATACACTGCATAAGAGCTTTTGGGGGTGCGGGGTGGTCTATGGGAGTGGCAATCTAAATAGGAAAAATCAACATGTGTGAAGCACCCTCACTGTGCAGGAATCAGCAAAAACAGAAGGCCCAAGAATTTCAGCTCCTAGAAGCCTTCCTAATTAGGGATTGTTTTTGCCAACGAACACAATGCCAAATGCTTAGCAGACCAAAAGTGCACGCACACACACACACCACCAGCTTTCCAAAATATCTTGGCTGGGTCTGCCTGTTTACAGGGAGTAGCCATTTCATACCAATGACCCACAAAAAGAAAGTGTGCTTTGTTTTTTGCATTAATCCTGAAAGCAAGTTAAGCAGCTTCATGGCGCCACAGCACTATTACTCTGCTCTGCACCCAGCAAGGTAGTCAGGACTGAATTAAACCTGAGTTTGCATCAACACTGGTCTAGCTAGGCAAAGGGGCAAATCCTGGCTGCAGGGGCTATAAGCTGTTTCCTCTACTAGTCCTACCAGTTTGCCTCCTGGCTGGGGGGGGGGGCAGATCCATTCAACCGCCCTCCTCCAGAAAAAAAAAAGAGGAACATGAGAGTTTTGATTGGATTTTTATTTTTATCTTTTTGGCCTGCAAGGCTTCTGCACGTGGCCTGGCACACTTTGCCAAGGGAGGGAAAAGCCGCTAGCAGAAGAACAGAGCCTGTTAGAATGAAGAGCTCAAGGAGACGATGACAGTACTGAACATCTTCTACATGCACACACACACACGGATGACAAGCAGAGAAGCCAGAGAATTGTGAGCGCCTGGAAAAGAGTGCTCCACAGTAGAGTTGGGTAGGTGAGTATGAAGGTCCCAGTGTCAGCCTGCCACATGAGGGCAAGTGTGGGATACCAGAGAGGAGGCTGCTTGCTGAGGAGATGCACCCAATTTAGAGACCTCGGGCCATTTAAAATGGGCCTTAGGTACCTGAAAGGATTCTGCTGGTTGTTTCATCACAGGATTTTGTATTTTATGCTAAATGTCACAGTGCACCCTGAGTATTCCGAGGGTGAAAGGTGGGTTGTAAATCTTCTAAATAAGTACTGCTAGTATTTGTTTTTAACCTCATCACCATGATGAAAAAGACTCACAATGCATCCTTTTATTTATGCATGTTATGTAGCAGGAAAACTCAGGGGATGTGTGAGTGCGAACACAGAAGGTAGAACAGTAGAGTGTTCTGCAGGGTTGGGCAGGGTCTACCAAAGCTATTATCTTCCAAGCAAGTGGTGCTGCCACTTGTACAGGCCACTCTCTCATAAAAATGGTGCAGAAGCAGCTAAGTTGTTAACTATGAGTGGGGTTCACCCAACACACCCCATAAGCAGAAGCCCTGTGCAAAGCTTTGACTTAACACACTGGGGGCTTTCCCCTCTCTTTTTTCTCTTTGCATGCCCCCCAAATGCCTTGGGAGGTCAGGAAAACCCACAGAATAGTGCACAGGGGATCACTTCATCAAGCAAGCTGACACACATGTGCAGAAGGAACAGTCCACACATCATGGCATTGAATTCTCCCTATTGTGACTGTATTCAGCATGACTTAGTCCTGTATTTAAAAGGTATGTGCAGGTGCACCACAGTGACACAGGATGTTCTGGTTAAGATGGTCACTTGCTCTTTTATGACCTACTAAAACCACTTAAATTTTGCACTTTTATTCAGCACCTTTTAGTCAAGATGCTGAATATAATGTTTTTTATATATTTATAATGCTATAATGCTTTTAATGGTTTTTAGTGATGATACAATTTGTGCAGATGGAGTCACAGTCAGTGTCACACCAGACTAGATACTCAGCTCTGACTCACAGCTTTGGTTTTCATTTATCCCTTTGCTCTGAAGCAGGCAGTGTCTGAAAACATGTCGCACCATCCACCAAAAGGCACAACACAAGCTGTCCTCCAGACATAGAATCAAGCCCTTTACCACATAGTGAAGTTATGAGCACAGAGGATGATAAGAAGTTCCTGTACATCATGGTACTGTTTCTCAAATCAGCATCCACATCAGGAAATCACAGAGTCAACTCAGCCTCTACAGTCTGACGTGGAGCTTGTAACACAAACACATGGTGGCCTAGTTTGGATGACACACTTAAGTCAGCAGATGGTTAGGTTCTCTAACCATCAAGTAGTATATAAATTTTGTTAAATAAATAAATAAAAACCTGATCTGGCTTGTGGGCAAGTTTTCCATATTTCCCCTACCCAAGATTTGTTCTTTGTTGAAGCTCATAGTTAACAATGAGCCCCAGTACAAATGGCACACTAAGCCAAAGCATGGCTTAACTATGTGCCCAGAGAGGAGCAAAACAGCTGCAAACTCCCCTCTAGGAGCTTGTGCATTTGCATAGTCCCAGTAAACCAGAGTTTGGCTTTGTGAGCTGTGCAAAGCAAGAGAAGAGGGAGGGAGGGAGGGAGGGAGGGAGGGAGGGAGGGAGGGAGAGAGAGAGAGAAAGAAAGAAAGAAAGAAAGAAAGAAAGAAAGAAAGAAAGAAAGAAAGAAAGAAATACAGAGTACTGGAGCAAGCATCAGTAGAGCTGCAGAGTTAAGAAGGTGTCCTGATTCACAACCGCTTGGATTTTCCAGATGTCAAAACAGAGCCTGATGGTGAATTTATAAGGTGGGGAGTGTTTGCAATGTTACTACCTTGGCCACTCCTTCCCTCCACTCCAGTATAAAATAACTCAGCCCTTTAAAAATGAGTTTTACTGTCCTGGGGAACATCAGACTGGTCTCAAGTCTTGCTCGTTCAGAATGACCTGTCCTGATATATATGAAACACAGATGCACAGCTCAGCTACAAGAGGACAGGGAAGTCATCAGATGATTTGCACAAAAGTTCTACTTTAGAACAAGCTAAAAATGAGAAGCTTTCACAAATGCTGGTAGACGGTTTTGAGATAGGGGCAGGCAATCCGTCAAACTAGGGCTGTAATGAGATGGGACAATAGCTCTGGCTTACAGACTGGAGCAAGGGATTCAAAAGGCTCGTAAAAGCCACTGTGAGCTTTCCCGGTTCTCGCCTGTCTCAGTATATGATAAATATTTATGACTATTGCAAAAAAGCAAAGAAAAAAGAAAAATAGACTTCAGCTGAATTGAATTTAATCCAAATTCCATCATCCCAGAAAGCAGTGCTCAGTGCAAGCTGGCCTCATGTCTCAAAGGCACTGAAGTTTGATGTATAATATGCTAATACAGGCAGCGTGTGAAAAATGCATGCGTTGCAGAGAGATGGTGCCAAAACCCACGGGTGGCTTAATTAGAACAGGGAGAAACCAAAGACATATTTTGATCTTATTGGCATGTTTGGGGGCTTTTGTGTATCTGGAAGCCTGCATGCCTTTGTGGCTATAACCTGCCATCCACACCACCTCTCTCCCGGCAGTGGTTTCCTGACTAGGAAAGACCCATGAAAATCCCTCCTAGTTTCATGGACATCATCATGAATCACATGATATTTCCATGATATTGCTCAGCTATTTCCATGCTTCTCTCCACAACTCTGAGGGCTATAAGCTTTTAGTTTTTGAAGTATGAGATCCAGTGGAGTCTGCGTATGGTGCTGGGTTCTGGATTATTCAGCATAACCACATCCATGTGTCTCTTAATACGAATAAAATACACTTCTCACACTCCAAACTAAAGGAATATGGCAAGTGGCCCAATCATCATTAGGTGTCTGCCAAAAAAACTTCACAGATTAGTGAGCAACCCCTGTGGAGGAGCATCTATGACATTTACCAACCAAGAACAACCTGACAGCAAATAGAGGATCCAGTTGCACCACAGTTCTGTCATTAACAGGGTAAGTTAAGTATGCATTTCATAGACTCCCAGAGTTGGAAGGAACTGTGAGGGTCATCTAGTCCAACCCCCTGCAGTATAGGAATCTTTTACCCCACATGGGGCTTGAACTTACAACCCTGAGATTAAGAGTCTCATGCTCTACTGACTGAGCTATTCCAGCTATAGATTTTGCATACGGTGTACATCAATTGGAGACCCATCCCTGGTACAAGTGGAGAGGAGCAAGCTTCTAATTCCCCCAATTATGAAAATATTTGTGGAGATTTCACAACATGGCAGACATGGATAGGCTGGCAGCAGAATACACACATGCAAGCAACACACATCTCTGTATGACTAAAAAGTAACAGAAGCAGCCTTGGGTCTCTTGAGGAAGGCGTGGGGGGAAAGCAGGATTGTAAAGAGCGAAGACATATCTACATGCAAGCTGAGTCTTCTGCCTACCAACACACACACACACACACACACACACACACACACACACCCTTCTGAACCCACAGGAATATAGAATTATATTGGGTATCAAGCAGACTGTGCCAAACTAGTTTTCCATGATAATGAAGCAGGCAGGTTAGAGAGTTTGGATTTGATATCCCGCTTTATCACTACCCGAAGGAGTCTCAAAGCGGCTAACATTCTCCTTTCCCTTCCTCCCCCACAACAAACACTCTGTGAGGTGAGTGGGGCTGAGAGACTTCAAAGAAGTGTGACTAGCCCAAGGTCACCCAGCAGCTGCATGTGGAGGAGCGGGGACACGAACCCGGTTCACCAGATTACGAATCTACCGCTCTTAACCACTACACCACACTGGTTAAGGGAAAGTGAGATGTACTATCATTCCCATTGGAAAGCCTTGTTACAACTAATTTCAGTCACCAAACTGCAGCCACTGAAGTGGGATGATACGCCATGCTAAAGAAGTTCTAGTGCACTGAGAACTATCAGGAGATCCAGAGTTCTCCATATACTTTTTTACTGTCCCTCACTAAGGTTTTTCTTCTGCTCCTCACCCCCACCCCCCATTCATAACCTGCCAGCTAAGCTGCAACTCAAGTTCATTCAGAAACACATTCTCACCCATCCCCAGGTCTGTGTCCTCAACTCAAAACACAATGATAAAAAACCCACACAATGATATAAAAAACCCAAGGCATCCATTTTGACATTGGCGAAGAAAACCAACAGCCCAAGAACAAGCCATCTGTGGCCGCTGCCAAGGGAACACCTAGTTCTAACCTCCAGCAGGGGTATCACACTACTTGTAGCCGAAAGCAATTTCAGGGACATGAAAGCCAGTGATGGGGTGTCTCATAGCTTCAAAACCATTTCCTATATTGGAAACACATGTTCCTGGGAGAAGGGGAATACATGAGGCAGACTTCTAGGCACCAATTACCATGCAAGCAGCAGGGCGAGAGGAAAGCTGCGGGGCGCCATTAGACGGGCAGTCTAATGTTTCAGTGGCTACATACGTGGGAAAGAGAAATGTAGATTTACACACTGACTCCCAGTGAGGGTGTGTGTGGAGCAGGTCCTTTACATGCTGGGAATCAGCACCTATCGCAGAGCCCTAACAGAAAAGGGGTGTGAGCACAAGGGTGTCTCAAAATAGTGCTAACAAGGCTTTAAGGCCTGTTTGAAGCCAGGGACTGACTATTGTCAGCATTTGCCATGTTCCAGATAAGAGTCTTTATTCACATTAAGACTCAGGACCAACTGGTGGAATTTGGTCTTCATTCATGATCTCTTATTTATTTTTTATCCTGCCCTTCCTTCCTCCAAAGGACCGTGTTTGCCAGGTTTTATGGCAGAGCTTTCCAAACTTTTCATGTTGATGACACACTTTTTAGACATGCATCATTTCATGACACAGTAATTCAGTTTTACAAGCAAATTGGAGGTTAAACTAAATCCCTTCCAGTCCTGGGAGGAGCGTGGGGAGCATTCGGATGACACACCTACACACTAACATATCGCGACACAGAGTTTGGAAAGCTCTGGTTGATGGTGTACCCCCTCTTTCCCCCCCTATGAGGCAGGTTACCTTGAGAAACGGGTGAGCGAGGATTTGAACCTGGCTCTCAAAACAGCCCAATATTCTAACCGTTACACCCTATGAATGTTCCGACACATGAGCTGCAAAAGGAACCCCTGTTTGAGAAAATTCAGCATAAAGAAAAAGGTACTAAGAAACCAATCTCAAGGAGACAAAAAAGGGAAGTGTCAGTAGCAGGCAAGTAAGTATCTAGAATCTGGGGCATGAGATTTATTTGCTCTGCTCCTCTTGGAGACAGGGAGGTGGTACAGTCCAAAAGGAGAATACGTACGAGTGACCGGTGGCAGGGATGAAGTATATACAGCAGTGGACTCTGGTATCTGGTATCCGCTTCTTCCGGTTAATATTAAGCTCTTCCTGGAGGTACTTCTCATATTGATCATTGATGAACTTCATAATGGGTTGCCAACTGTGCAAGGGGAAAATGCCATGTATGAAATACAAGAAACTATGTCTGTGCACGATTATTCAGACTACACACACATACAATCTTCGCATGCTGTTAAATGCACTTACATGGAAACAAGTACCAGTGAAATCATGTGAGGACTGAAATGGGGAAGGGGTTAGTGTAGGACTGGAAGGGACCTGACCAAATCCATACACTTTAAATGGAATCTTCTACATGCTCTGGGTGAAATCCATGATCACCCTGTAGCAGGAGTTATATGTTTGTGGTAGTGTGTTCCAGGTTCCCCATGACTTGGAGAGCTCTTGAGCCCACTTTCTGAATATCAGAGCTCAGAAGAAAATACGTAAGAACTGGAAGGCGGTTGAAGCATCTCCCACCACATAACAGCCTATGTCTTTTTGTCAAGACAGAAATCCATGGAATGATCAGTGTTGGCATTTGGAGACTTGTAAGAAGAAAAAAGCAAATCTAAAACCTGATCAGAAATAGACTTTGACAGAAACAAGAACCATTCAGCATCTCAAGAGAAGCTATCTTTTCCACTGTAAAATAATAGTTTCAAAATCCACAAACTTTTCCCAATCCTGGGAAAAGATATACAACCACTTAGTTACTATTTTATTTTCATTCCCTTCTCTGAACATTCCTAATATTCAACTAACCCTGTGCACTAGCAGAGATCCGTGCAAAGGCTCCTGCTAGTGCAATAGGGCTTTCTTCCCTCCTCCTCCTCTGCCTCCCCAGAACAAGGTGTGAGGGAAGGGGAGGAGATTATTCTGTCCAGCAAGCAGAAAAGCTTGCACTGACAGGATGATCAGAAGACGTTGGATTCCTCCCATTATATTTGCCCTTTTCACCCCTGCAGCCAAGGCTTTCGCCAAACATGTATAA